AGTACAGCTGGTTTGGAACATGGGGGTTTCCCACCTCTCATTCCCTTGGAAACTCCCTCCCAAGCCAGAATTAGATGTTAGAAACAGCTTTATCGCCATACAATGGATACAAAAAGTGATGGCAGTTCCAAGAGGAACTTCTCAGACTCTAATACCTAAACAGGGATGGTACCAACAACAAAACAGAACAAATAAAATGCTACCACAGTAAAACCACCACAATGGGAATATAGTCCTCCCTCCTCTTCTCCTTCCTTCCCTCCTTCCTTTTTTCCTTTTTTTTTTTTTTTCTAATTTTTTGAGACAGAGTCACCCCCTGTAGCCTACAGTAACCTAGAACTCACAATGTAAGCACAGGCTGGCCTTGAACCAGTGTCAATCCAATCTTCTTGCCCCAACTTCATGAGTGCTGGAATAATATACTGGCATGAGCCACCACCCCCAACTACTGTATAGTTTTTTAAATTCAACATTAATTTTTTTTGTTGTTTTGGTTTTTTTGAAATGGGGTTCCTCTGTGTAACAGCCTTGGCTGTACTGGAACTCACTTTGTAGACCAGGCTGTGCTGGAACTCACTTTGTAGACCAGGCTGGCCTTGAACTCATTGAGATTTGCTTGCCTCTGCCTTCCAATTGCTGGGATTAAAGGAGTGCCACCACTGCCAGTGGCTCAACATTAATTTTGTGACTAGTTCTTTGATAGATTTTTTTTTCATTTATCTACATACCTTCTGGCCTTTTTTCTTTAAAAAAAAATGTCTTTGTGCATCAATGTCTTTGTCTGCATGTGTATCTATACACCACATATGTGCAGTGCCCATGGAGATCAGAAGAGAGAATCAGATTTTCTGGAACTGAAGTTACAAAAGGTTGTGAGCCACCATGTGGGTGCTGGGAACCGAACTTGGGTCCTCTTCTCGAGCAGTAAGTGCTCGTAACCAAGCCATTTCTCTAGCCTCTGTAAACTTCTGATATTTTTACTGAAGTTTTTCTGAATCCAATTTAGTAGTTATATATGGTTCAGTGATTTTCAAAGCACAGCTCTCAGACAACATCATCAGCAAGATCTGGGAATTTGTTAGGAGGTCCAAGCAACCCCATCTGTATTTTAATACCCCCCACCACACCTCATTCTGATGGAATACTAACGTCTGAAAACTTGTATTTTAAAACTTCATATTGTCCGTTAGGAATCTAGGGACCAGATGTAAGTGACTTCACCTAAGGTCAACCACCCAAGTAGTAACTACTAAGTTACTAAATGCTTGTGAATGTGCTCACCAGTCATTTTTATTCCTTCTTTCTTTCTTGGAGATACGGTCTTAAAGTAGTCAAGGCTTGCCTCCAATTCACTATGTAGCTGAGGATTACCTTGAACTCCTTGTCCTCTTGCTTGTGTCTCCCACATGCTGGGATTACAGGCAGGAGCCTCCACACCCAGTTTTGTTATCATCCCATTATCTTTAGGACAAACTACTAATACAGCCCAGTGATATCTTACTTAAAACTCCATAATATGAAACCCATTCTCAAATTTTCTATTATGTGCCTTCAGTGAGTTTTAGAAGTAATCATCCTTACATCAAATAAATCATCACAAAAATCTTCCATCTCACCTTAATCACATACATTGCTTCAGTCTTAAATGTATGGGGTGCACTGTGTTTTCTAAAGTTCATATTAAACAAGAACCAGACATATTTTTCATTTGCAACTGGGCTCAATTTCATGAGCATTGGAAGCTACACAAACCCATGTACCCATCATTCAAGTCATGGCAGAGAAAATCTTTACTGCCCCAGAAAATGTCTTTGTCTTCTTAGTTAGGGTTTCTGTAGCAAACTGGGGAGGAAAATGTTTATTTGGCTTACTCTTCCACATCACTGTTCATCATTGAAGGAAGTCAGGACAGGAACTCTAACAGGGCAGGAACCTGGAAACAGGAGCTGATGAAGAGGCCATGGAGGGGTGCTGCTTACTGGCTTGCTCCTCATGGCTTGCTCAGCGTGCTTTCATATGGAACCCAGAACCACCAGCCCAGGGCTGGCACCAACCACAATGGGCTGGGCCCTTACTAGTTAAGAAAATGCCCTAAGGCTTTCCTACAGCCAGATTTTATGGAGACATTTCCTCAATTGAGGATCCTAACTCTCTGATAACTCTAGATTATTCTAAATTTACATAAAACTAGCTACCACATCCTACTTAGAAATTCATTTTCACTCTCTCACCCTGCAACCATTCCTGACTTCTATTATAATAGATGCATTTTTTCTATTTATTTATTTTATTTTTACTTCAAATGAATCACACAAGATATGCTTCATTTGTATGTGATTTTTTGATTACCAACTTTTGGGATCCATGCATGGAACACACATCAGAGCCCATTCTTTTTCATTGTTGAGTAGTGTTGCATCACACGAACATGCAAGAACATGTTTATCCTATCTTGTTTGAGACAGGGTCTCACTATGTAGTCCTGGCTGGCCTGGAACTTAAAATGTAGACTCAAGTTCACAGAGATCTGCCTTCCAAAGTGCTGGGATTAAAGGTATGTGCCACTAAGCCTGTCATCCTACTTTGTTTTTAAGAAACTATTTTTTCTTATCCCAAAGTGCTGTAAATTTATTATGAAAAATTATAGAATCCAAATAAGGGAAAGGGGATGCAAATATCCATTTTCAGTCCTCAGATATAACCATTTTTAATTTGTATATCCCTATTTGAGCCTTTGTCTATATTGAGTTGCCCATACTATGTGTATATCATGCAAGTTACAAGCATTTCCTTTCAGTTTCAAGTTTTGTGGCTTAGATCTAAGTAGAACCTGGTATGTTAAACTGGCACAGCCTTTGGCTTTATCTGTGGGATCTTCTCTAAATTAGAAGAAAATTAGGGCTGGAGAGATGGCCCAGCTGTTAAGGAGCACCTGTGCTCTGCAAAGGATGTGGGTTGAGCTCCCGGGACCTATATGGCTCATAACCATCTGGAACTACAGGTTTCCAGTCGAGGGAAACCAACTCCCTCTTCAGAACTTTCCTGATGTATGCATATGCACCAGACACCTACATGGTGCCTATATATACGTGCATACACATACATGCAGGCAAAACACTGGTGCACATACAGTTTTTTTAAGCTAAAAAAAAGTTTTAAAAGAAAATATTTAATGTAAAAAAAAAAAACCCAGAGAATTAAAGGTGATAACTGAATATTCACTGGTCTAAATTCAAATGATTCATAGTCTATAGAATGATATGTCTGCATTTAGTTTCTTTCACTCCATTTTGCTTCCTTCCTTTTAAGGAGTCACTGTTAACTACAAATTGTGATAAAGATGACGATAAGAATCATAAGTTACTAAACTTATTATAATGTTTCTTTTAAGCTTTATTTTTAAACTTTAAGCTTCAAGTTCTGTTATCTACACTTCATTACCTTTTGACTATGATCAAGTGATTTTAAATACCGATGATCATGTTAGGGCTAGTTCTGGGGTGATAGCTCACTATTTTTCCATGTTCCTTGGGAGTATTTTCTCTAGGTGGGAGGAGTATGCTCTCTGTCCATTAGTCAGGGCGAGTCCAGCAACTCTTGTAGATTTCAAAGATTGTTGCTCAGTGTCTCATGACCTTCAAGCTCATATACCTAGAGGATACAAAACTGCAGCTGTTTACTTGGAATCCCATTTTATGGTCTTGGCTAGAAGATCAGAATCTGTGTCTTTAGGTGAAATTGTATGTGCAACGTTATGTTGCAGCAAAGCTCCAGGATTTTGGTTAGGTGGCTAGAATAATAACAATAGCCCCAGTCTCTCGATATTAGAATTTAAAAGTCGTTAGGGACCTGAGTTCCTACTCTGGGGGAAGTTCAAGTGGTTGCTGGGGATAGAGTTCCTTCTCTGGTATTTGCCTCTCAAGCCAGGAAGTGAATTCTTACCCTCAGTAGTTTTTGCTAATTGCATCCCATCCAGTCCCTGCTCCAGGTTCCCTTCCTTTGTGTGTAAAGTTCAGTCCACAAGGGTGGGGGACTTAACAGTACGTAGTAAAACCTGGTAGTAGCAATGCCAGTGAATTTCCAGCCCTAATTCTGAAGTACTTGAGTTGAAAACACTCTCAAAGAAACGTCTGTCTCCCATCTCCATTTCGAAAAAGCAGTCTACGTGAACCAGAAAGAGAATTCGTGACAATCTCCTCTCAGGAGGCCTCAAGCTTGACAAAGCTCTGTCTCTTGTTATCTCTAAAATCTTGATTAACAGGTGCAGTCACCTCGAGTTTGCTGGACTCTCTCTCTCAGTTGTTTGCTTTGTACACTGTCCATTCCCCTCCCCTCCTCCATAAAAGGACAAAACACCTAGGTCGGCTAGCCGAAGCCACCCATCCCCCAACACTGATGGGAGAAACACTAGTCGCCTTTCTAGGATCCATCCAATAGTAGGGAAGGTTAAACCTTAGCTTGACTTTGGCAAACTCGCTCTACCTGCATTCTCTAGCTATCAGGTCCTCCCCACCCATCTGGGCGCCCTGGGGCCTTATGACACCAGAGCCTAACAGAATTAGGAGTGGAGGTAGGGCGGCGGCGGCAGGGGAAGGCGGTGGCGCAGCGGTACCAAGTGGCACGGCCAGGCCACATCCACAGTGTACGTGGCACTGGCCGTGGACGGACGGGGAGGGGACTGGGCTTTCTCCTCCCTGGGAGGAGCCTCGAGGCATCCAGCAGAAGAGGGAGATTCCTTGAAGGGATTAGGGCGTGCATTTGGTGAGATCTCATCAGAGTAAAGCAGCCAGGCACTGGCCTGATATCTGGTTTTCCACTTTCCACTCGGGAGTAAGTCTGTGTTACCCGGGAATCTGGAGAGACTGGATTGAGGGCGGGGGCGATGTGCTCGCCAGCCCGCATGCGCAGAGCCACCGCGGTCGGACTACAACTCCCAGAGGACTCTCACGGAGGCTGCCTGCCCCGACGCCATCTTGAAATCTGATGCCTCATCGTACTGTCCGAGAGCCCATCCTGCCCGCGCGGGAGGACGTAGAGGACGCGGCGGTCCGCGCGAGAGACAGCTGTGGGGGCCTTGGCAGCGTCCGCGCGCAGCTCGCATCCTGTCACTCAGCATCCCCCTCGGCGTTTCGGAGCCCGCCCCCTGCCCGAGGGGCGGGGCTGGCCGTGTGGTACCCAGAGCCTGCGCGCTCCGAGGTGTACCCTACCCAATGAGGACCCCGGGCAGGGCCATGCCAGCCACAGACAATCAAGGTGGGAAGACAAACGCACCGCAGAGCCAGTGAGCAACTCGTAGCTGTGGCCATTACAGGGCAGCTCGGCACCCTCCCGGAGTAAAGATGAAAGAGATTTGCAGGATCTGTGCCCGGGAGCTGTGTGGGAACCAGCGGCGTTGGATCTTCCATCCAGCGTCCAAGCTCAACCTCCAGGTTCTGCTTTCGTACGTCCTAGGCAAAGATGTCACTCGTGATGGCAAAGCCGAGTTTGCCTGCAGCAAGTGTGCTTTCATGCTCGATCGCGTCTATCGATTCGATACTGTTATTGCCAGGATCGAAGCCCTTTCTCTTGAGCGCTTGCAGAAGCTGCTGCTGGAAAAGGACCGCCTCAAGTTCTGCATTGCCAGTATGTATCGGAAGAATAACGATGACTCTAGCGAGGAGATCAAGGCGGGGAGTGGGACTGTTGACATTTCCAGCTTGCCAGATATGAGGTACTCTGCACTGCTCCAGGAAGACTTTGCCTATTCGGGGTTTGAGTGCTGGGTAGAAAATGAGGAACAGAGTCAGGAGTCCCACAGCTGTCATGGTTCTGAAGGTCCCGGAAACCGACCCAGGAGATGCCGTGGTTGTGCGGCTTTGCGAGTTGCGGATTCCGACTATGAAGCCATTTGTAAGGTGCCTCGAAAAGTGGCCAGAAGTATTTCTTATGCCCCCTCTAGCAGGTGCTCCACCAGCATTTGCACTGAAGAACCGGCATTGTCAGAGGTTGGGCCACCAGACTTAGCAAGCACAAAAGTACCCCCGGATGGAGAAAGCATGGAGGAAGGGACACCAGGTTCCTCTGTGGAATCTTTGGATGCTAGTGTCCAGGCTAGTCCTCCACAACAGAAAGACGAGGAAATGGAGAGAAGTGCGAAAGAACTTCTAAAGTGTGACTATTGTTCGGATGAACAGGCGCCACAGCAATTCTGTAACCACAAACTGGAGCTAGCTCTTAGCATGATTAAAGGTCTTGAATATAAGCCCCTTCAAAGTCCCCGAGGGAGCAAGCTTCCAATTCCAGTGAAATCCAGCCCACTTGGAGCCAAGCCTGGCCATATCATGACAAATGGAGTTAGTTCCAGTTTCCTTAACAGGCCTTTGACACCCGTGAGTTACCCTTTGGAGCTCTCAGACCTGCAGGAGCTGTGGGATGATCTCTATGAAGAGTATTTGCCACTCCAGTTCCAGGTATACACAATGGCTGCACGTGGGGCCTCTCTGATGAGCTGTCCAGGGCCTTTCCATCATTTGTTTAGCTTCAGGATAATAATGTTCTAGGCTTGAAAAAAATTAATCATTAAGCCCATTTTGGCTATACTTTTTGCTCATGCCCCATTTAGTAAATGTGATTTACACTTAGATAAGTTGCTTTTCATAAACCTTTTAGGCATTGATTTTTTTAATGTCAAAATTCCCTATCTTTTACATACCAGAAGATAAAGATTATTTTCCCATAGAAAATAAAGATTATTTCCCAAAGAAAATAAAGATAAAGATTATTTTCCCATAGAAAAAAGGATATTTCTTGTACTTTTGTACAGAAGTCCCCCTTCCCCTTGATTTTTTGCCATTTTTGTGTTTAGATGTATGGATAATATTTTCCGTTGTTTTTCCGTAAGAAAGTTAGGTTTCTGGTCATTTCTCCCTGAAACGCTTAGCTTTTCATCCCCCAGATGCCTCAAAATGATTGGCACTTAGGGCAAAACCTATTAATCTATCAAAAGAAATCTGGGCATTGTTTGTGATAATTAACGGTCATTTGAGAGCTAGTGGTGACTTTTTGGTGGGAGATATTTGGGAATTCAAATGTTGTCACTCATAAAGTTAAGGTGAAAACTGCACAGGTAGCTTTTCTACTGAGCCCTACTGGAAGATGGTTATTAGTAAGAAAGGGATTCACTCACCATATTTTTGACTTTCATAATGACTGGAGAATGACAGTTGAACTTAATTTGAGCTATTGTGTCTCTGCGGAACTGAGTTGAGACCACCCTTTTGAGTTCCACTGTTTACAGGGACCTGGCAGATGCTGCTTTGTTTCCACAGCAACACTAAATGCTAGCTAGATTCAGTTAACTTTGTTAAACATCCTAGCACATTGGCAAAGGTGGGTAATCTAGAAATCACTGGGGAAGCCTAATCCTCAGTGAACTGGAGTCCAGAAATGTACAGTCTGGTGGAGTTGAGCTTCCAATTCAATGGGATTTTTTTTTTTTTTGAGGCATAATTAGGCAACTTGTAAAATTTGTATACCAATAAGAACTTTAGCAGAAAGTGCAAGGGATGTTTTAAAATATATGCAAAACAGTGCTTTCATTTGTGTGAAGTGTTAATAGCATCTGGCTACTTCTTTTCTTTGTATAATGGGGCCTCAGTTCTATGCTTGGCCCAAACAGTGTTTCTGTGACCAGACATAGTTGCTACAAATTAAACATGGCATTCTCCTCTTAGGATCAGAAAATAGGCTTGTCATGATGGGGAAATAAGTTGTTTTTGTCTCTCAACTATGGCCAGTACTGTAGCTAGCTGAAGACCTGAAGATTCCATGGAAAACAAGAATATTTTTACTCCATATTTAATTGAAAAATACTTTTTCGTATTTTGCCTGGACTCAGCCGATTTTGGAGTTGGGAAGGATTTTCAAGAGGATCCCTTGGTTAGGAATGTTTGAAAGTTTAAGTATTAGCCCTAACAGAGCCAAAGATCCCTCACCATTTTCAGCCAGGACATTTTAATTCTGTACATTTAATTACATTGTCTGAAGCACATCAACTTAGCCTGTTTTAAACCAAGAATCTTCTTTCTGCATCCTAAGGATTCCAGCAGCACTTGGGGGGTTTCTATAAAGAAAACTGAGTGAGTGTGTAAACTATGGTAATTGTATCCTTAGATCAAATCCCTTTACCATAGTAACTGTGGACGTTAGAGTTTTAAACTAGTGGGATATGACCTTCTTATCACATGACTTTATGTGCTGTATGAAGAATAAGACATTGGGAGGTGAGAAAATGACATTGAGCTTCAAGAAAGAGTGTGTAATTACTATGTTTTCTCTAATAGATAAAGATGCAGGGTAAAATAGTTACACTGAGCTAAAAGTGTTTATAAGCAAAATATGCATTTTATTCTAGCCCTATGATCCATTGATGAAGTCTAATTGACTTTTAATCTCCTTAAGAGCTATTGTGCTGTAGGGTAAAACCAAAGCTAGGTGGGACATGGACAGACCAGCTTTTATCTGTTTCTCCGAGCAAATGTAGGAAGAATAAAATGTTTTTGTTATTTTTATCTTTTTGATTTGTAGATACAAGAACCTTAGAAGAAAAATGTTTCCTACAATAGGAAGGCCTTTGTGTTGAGTCATTTTGATTCTATTGTTTAATCTTCCACTTAATACATTGTATGTGTAGTAACTATCAGCATGAAGATTCTTCCTGATAGCTTTGCTTCCCTCCCACCCTGCCCCTATGTCTCCTTCCTTATATTAGATAAACAGCCATGGCATATTTCTCTTGCTTACTGATACTATGCAAATCATTTATTTCCCTTCTGTGGACCCAGGCTCTTCAGATTATCTACAGAAAGGTTTGACCGTCTTGTTCTGGGTAGTAATTTCCTTCTTCATTGTCTGGCCCTGAAATAGAAAAGCTATGATAAGGGGGTGTGGTCCCTTTGTAAACAGCAATTCACAGAGCTCTGACTGAGCCTCATACGGGCTCCTTTCTGACCAAATTCAAAGAGTGCATCTTTGCTTCAAACCTTGCAATGTCAAGTTCTGCTCCTTTGGGACTCTTGTGGATTTGTCCCACTTACACCCTTGCTGTATATTTAGGTAGATGGGACCATTTGGAGAATATAGACATTAGAGAGTAGTCAAAGGTTAGGCTCTTAATTTTATGCTAGCTGATGGTTCTTGTTGGTCTCTGATGATGAACAACAGGATAGAAAATTATTGCAGCTTGAGGTCTGTGACTCACTATTGGAATTCTAATATGCCAGGAAAAATGCTGCTAATGCAGAGGTCAAAACAACTGCTTTTTAGTCTTGAGTTGTGCACACCAGGCCTGGACATCGCTCTGCTTTTTCAGATCAATAAAGCATGTATACTAACTCTGGCTTGAAAGTGATTAATTTGAAAGGATGTTGTGGTTAGGTCACTGTCTTAGGAGCCAAGTATCCAGGAATGACCCTAATGCTACTAAACTAAGGATCACTGACTTTGGGCTCTGTAGAATCTCTCCAGGACCCTTGAGCTTATGTGTTTAACACATAAAAGCTTAGTGCACATTCCTGACTCAGAGGAACTTACTAGAGGCCCTTTGGGCTTCTCTGAAAAGGCATGTTCTCCTCTGTAAAAGAATAAATTATGAAGAAAGGAGAGACAATTCCCCAAGCTCCCCCAAAGCCCCCCCCCCCCCCCCCTCCAGTGATTCAGGCTGAGACTGTTCAAATGAGATGCTTCAGATTTGCTGCTCCTATACCCTTGTGTTTATACACACAGAGGCATAGAAACCACACATATGTGAATATATACGTAGGTGTGTAGATAAACATATACAAGTAAATGTTCTTACTTCTAAGAGGGGCCTGCAAAGTAGGAGACAGGCCTGTTTTAGTTTGGCTTTGTTTTTATTGGTCTTACTCATTAAGCACAAACCTTTGATCCCTAAAATGTTCCTGACAGTATGGTGAGCGATGGGATCATAGAAATAAATGTTGCATCACCAACTGCAGTTTAGTTTCCCCCGGACACTTCTTGACTTTTTTGTCACTTGAATATCTTAACCTACCTTATGTAGCTTTCCGTTTCCTTGTATGTAAAGTGGAATTGGGATGGCTGGTTAGTTTGCTGCTTCCCTCAGAACCCTAAGTTCTCTGATTTAAAGTGAATTAATACGACTGCCTTCCTGGCATTTTAACATTAACACTATCCCCTGGTAGTCAGAACTAGAGATTTAGTGGTTGAGCCTGAGGTCATATGCATGCCGGGTGAACATAGCAGTTGGGCTGTAGCTCCAGTCCTGGAATCAGTTTCTTCAATTCAGCTTGCTGTGATTGAGATCTCAGACTTGGAATGGACATTACTGGAGAGTTATTTTACACCAAAGAAACAAAAATCCAAGTCTTGGAGATACTGCTTCCCGTAGAATCACTGACAATTTCACTTGTCCGTTAGAATTGTAAGTATCTGTTTCAGTCATCTCCTGTGGTATGTACGTGACATAATTTATATTGCTTCAGGGGAGGCATCCCACATTCACAACAAATATCTCAAGTATTTCTGGGAGTCATCATCCTTCTCCTGCCTCCAGCTGTCTGGAGCAACAGCACATTAACCATACCAGAGCCATCCACTCATCTCCTCCACAGCTGTCTTTATGATCCTGCCACCTTTCACCTGCATCCTGGCTCATCTCCTTTCTGTTGGGGCTTCCTAACCATCACCACTGAGCAGCTGGAGTGAGCCTTTAAACAAGTAAATATGATTGCTTTTCTGTTAGAAAACACTGCAGTCAGGGCTGGGGACCGGACTGCACAAGGCCCTGGGTTTGATACCCAGCACCACGAAAAATAAAACAAATGTGAGTTCATGAAATACTGCAGACAGTTCTCATTCCAGTTTAAATGAATTCAGCTTGATGATCCCTGATGTACAGGAGTGTAAGACCTGGGCTGTGCCTGCCTTAACGATTGACCCTGTTACTCCACCCTTTGTCCAGTGTGTTCTAATAAGGCCACCACCAGCCTGTCTCCCTCTTGTGCACTTCACCTGTGGCTAATCCAATTAAATGTACTCTAAGAATAAAACAGCCCTCAGATTTCAAATACTTAAAACTTACAATGTCTTATTTTCCTATTGATTTCTATTGTAAATGTTTTTTTAAAAAAAATTAACTTAAATTGTCAAAACTGAGTACATGTTTTTTTTTTTTTTAAGTTATTCAGGGAAGCTATAAGAAAATTAAGAATTACACTTGTGGCTCACATTGTATTTCTCTTGGGATGTACCCTTCTAGACATATAGGCCTTTCTTTTCCCAGGCAGCTGTTCTCCCTGCCTGGCTTGATTCTCTGTTGCTTTTAGGATGGCTAGCTACTTTCTCCTTCAGATGTCCATTTAGATACTGTCTCAAAAAGGAACCCTCCTCTAGTTGATATAAAATAACAGTCACCAGTTCTCTGTAGTACTTTCCTGTGTTACCCAAGGGCCGTGCCACTAGCTGATTCTTTGTATTACCATATTTATTGCATAGCCACCAAATCCAAGTGCTGCAAAATCTGCATGAAGAGAAGTCACTTTTGTCCTATACAGTATTTTTTTTCTTCAACATAGTGTGAGCTTCTTTGTGCTCAACAGATGTGTATTGAGGGAGAAGATGAAGTTAACAAGCAGTACTAAGAGACATAGCCAGGATAAGTGGGCCCATTTCTTGTCAAAGCAAGCATTGAAGTCCAGTTTCTAGAGGATACTCCCAGAAGTCTGAGTGTTTTTATGAATCAACTTTCAGAACTCTTATGGTTGTTTTTATTTCCTGCCATGTGTTTATGTTTGAGACTGTTTTAGTACCTCTTTGATCATCACTCTTTTTAGGGTTTTAAGATTTTGTTTTATCAATTCATTTAGTGGGGATAAAACAGCTTTTTAATGAGCCATTCAGAAATAACTGTATGCTTATAAACAAGGTAATAAAACATCGTTATTTGTACCTGTTTTTCCTGACAGAATTAATTGCTCCCTTTTAATTCTTAGCAGTGGTTTGAAGCTGGGTGCGGTGGTGCAGGCTTGTAATCTTAGCAGTTGAGAAGCCAAGGCAAAGTTGTGAGTTTGAGGCCAGACTGGGTTATGAGACCGGCTCAAAAAAGAAAGAAAAATGGTGATTTGATGTGGGTGCTCAGTTATAAGATCTCTCTGTTTATAAAAGTAACAAAGTCAATACTTTGTATCCATCAGCCCCACCCATTCCTCCCCTATGTCTCGAACATTCTTCCTGACTAGCCATAGCCAGTTACCAACATCTCATCCTTCTTTTTAGTTCTAGATAAATTTTGGCAGAGGTCAAGAACCTTTTCTGTGTGACCTGTCAAGATGAATGTTCTTCTGGTATAATCACTTCCTCAATAGACCCAGAACTAAATAGTGGCCTGAATTGTACTCCCCATGGAACCTCACCCTGCACTCTGTATTTTATAGTGTTAGAGACCTAATAAATAGCACCGGGGAAACAGAACACACCTGCCTTTTCCTACACAGTCCCTTGCAGGAAGAAATTTAAAGTCAGCTGGAACCCCGGGCCCTGGAAGGTGGTAAAGTTTGAAAGTGCATGAGCTGGGCAGTGGTGATGTATGCCTTTAAACCCAGCAGGCGGATCTCTGAGTTCAAGGCTAGCCTGGTCTACAGAGCAAGTTCCAGAACCGGCTCCAAAGCTACAGAGAAACCCTGTCTCGAAAAAACAAAAACAAAACTCAAACCATGAATAGTAGTTCTTTCCTTTTTCCTAGTGAGAAAGGGAATGGCAGGAGAGCAGGGGAGGATTTAATGCCACAAATTCCTTAGGTATCCAGTATTTTAGCTCATTGTGATCTTCAGGTATACTTTGAAATATAGTTCAACTTATGCTCCTTAAGATGAGTATTCTTTTTTTTGTTTTTGTTTTTTTTGTTTTTTGAGACAAGGTTTCTCTGTGGCTTTGGAGGCTGTCCTGGAACTAGCTCTGTAGACCAGGCTGGTCTCAAACTCAGAGATCTGCCTGCCTCTGCCTCCCGAGTGCTGGGATTAAAGGCATGCGCCACCACCGCCTGGCTAAGATGAGTTTTCTTAGAAAGTACATGTCCTTTCAGACTGTTATGGTTATGTGATTATTTTACTTCCCCCCTCATTTTTAATAATCTTGATATATAGAGACAAAAGGGGGGGGCAAAAACCTTCCATGCTTCCTCACCTGGATTTATCAAGTGCTGCTTGTTTGCCTTGCAAACAAGTGAGAATTATTAATAGTTACAGATGTTTGCCATTTACTCTAGATACTTCCCCATGTATTTCTTAAGATCAAGGACATTTCTTTTTTTTTTGGTTTTTTTTTCTTTTTTTATTAAATTATTAATATTTTCACTGAACAAGGACATTTCTTATCAACTGTGGTATAAATTACGGAGATTTGGTGACTAGAAATGCTGTTTTCTAATGTGTGGCCCCTATTAAAAAAGGGCTACAGGTTTTCCAGGCTTATTATAGCACAGGTAATTGGAGTATAACTTTGGCCCTTCGATGCCTTTATTAATTTCCTGGTTAAACATAGAATGAAGTGGAATGAAGCAAATATTTGATTGTCATAACCCCGTTCTTATTAAAAAAAGTGTCCCATGCTCTTTAAATTCTGAGTCACTTGCTTTACCTGACAAAGCAGTGTTTGTGAGAATGGGTAGAGAATGACAAGGGGCATAGTAGGGATGGTGGTTTCAGATCAGTGGGAACCGTAGTTGCTGCACAAATCACCAGGTGGCTTCCTGAAGACAGTCCCACCACTTGCTAGGAGTGCTCTCTGAAAAAGGAGGCCCAGTATGAACATGAAAATCAAATGGGTTATTGACGGCATTCACTTAGTGAGCTTGTCTCCCTGCTGCCTCCTAGCCCCAGCCTGTGAAGTTACTCAAGCAACAAAAGCTGGACTCAGATGAGACCCCTGTATCCCAGCCCATTATGGATAAATCTGTGTCTGACTCCCACTTGGAAGAACTCCAGGACAAAATCCAGCAAACAGAGGCCAGCAACAAGGTATGGTCAGAACGGGCTCCAGCCATCCTGAGCTCCATCATCCTGGGTAGGACTTGGGAGATAAACACTGTGACATGAGGAATAGTTCATTTAAAAGTGTACTCTACACTTTTATCTTTATTTCCTTTCTTGTGTGTGTATGTGTGAGTTGAGTGTATATAGGTAGGTATGCATGTGGGTGTAGACTAGCAGTCAATCTCAGGTATTATTCCTCAGCTGTCAACCACCGGGTATTTGGGAGACAGTCTTCCACTGGGACCCAGGGCTTGAAAGTTCGGCTAGGTTGGTTGGCCAACAAGCTCAGGGATCCATCTGTTTCCACCTTACCAGAGTTAGGATTACAAGCACACACCTTCCAAGCCTGGCTCTTTATGTGGCTGCTAGGATCAAACACAGGTCCTCATAGCTTGCTCAGACCCTCCCTTTGTTGCATACACCCCAAAGTATGATGCCATCTAGGAATGAGATTAGACCCTCTATGTAATCCTTACAGCAAGGCTCTGAGATCAGTTGTGCTTTTGACTTTAGTGTAACTTCTCATTCCTGTATAGCTCATAGATTTTAATGTCTGCTTACAAGGCAATTGTTCCAAGGGGGCTCCTGAATTCTGGTTTAGTATGCTCTTATAGTAACCTGTCTTATAGGATGGGCCAAAGGAATAGTGTGGATGTTGACAAAGGGAACTGCAGTGCATGAAAACTGAGGTGTCTGAGCATTTGAGGGGAGCATGTCATATTTGCTGCCTCTCTTCATATTCAGACTCTCATGCTCTGCATGGGAAAGAAATAAGACAATATGCCCTAAGACTTTTTCGAAACCCGAGATGTGCTGGACAGTTTGATGCCCTCTAGGTTAAAAGCCACCATGAAGCTAACAGAGATTTTCTTTTGAATTCAGATTCTTCAAGAGAAACTGAATGAGATGAGCTGTGAACTAAGAGCTGCACAGGAGTCGTCCCAGAAGCAAGATGTGACAATTCAAAGCCTCAAGGAATTGCTAAAAAGCAGGGAAAGTGAGGTAAAATATTATGTAATCGTAGACCAGTGGGAAGCAGTTCATCCCAATGAAGTAGATAAGTACTCTGTATTTTGTAGAAGTCACGCCTGTCAGATTAGCAAACCTTACCATGGGTGTCCACTCAGTAGGTATTTTGGAATGATTCTCTTACTAACACCTGTAGAGGAGAGATATTGTAATGTATGTGTAGTTTGCTAACATTAGCGTGCTATCCTTCTCTCATTTCAGACCGAGGAGCTGTACCAGGTGATCGAAGGTCAAAATGAAACAATGGCAAAGCTTCGAGAAATGCTGCGCCAAAGCCAGCTTGGACAACTTCATGTACGTGAGGGCCATAGGCAGGAGTGGCATCCCCTGAGCTGCACAGTTCTCCCAGCTGCTCAGGGCTTTCCTCCTTGTGGTTGTGTTTATGGTTATGATTCTCTTCTTTTCAGAGCTCAGAGGGCATTGCCCCAACTCAGCAACAGGTGACCCTGCTTGATCTTCAGAATGCCCTGTTCTGTAGCCAGCTTGAAATACAGAAGCTCCAGAGACTCGTACGCCAGAAAGAACGGCGACTGGCAGATGTCAAGCGATGCATGCAGTTTGTAGAGGCTACAGCCCAGGAGACAGAGCAACAGAAGGAAGCTTCTTGGAAACATAACCAGGTAAATCATTAACCATTTTATTGCTCCCACTGCTGACTTTGCCCCACAGGAACTTTCTAGCTGGATGGTTTGTGCTGAACCTGAACCCTTGAGTCATTTGCTTAGTCTAATTTGGTTCAGTATCTGTTGCCCCTGGGTCATGTACCAGGTGAGCAGACTGGGTCCTGGAAATACAAATGTGAATACTCGAGACTCTGCCTCTTAAATTGCTTAGTTTAGTAGGAGAGGCAGTCACATGACAGAATTTCAACAGGGCTGCCGAAGATGCAGCTTTATGTTTCTATCAAATGTCTAGGAGGGGCTAAGGAAGAAGTTATGGGGAAAGTTTCATGAAGGAGAAGGGATCGGAGGTCATTCTCAAAGGATAAAGTCAGCTGGCAGGTGAGATGTCTAAGCAAGGAGGAAACGCTTGCCTTACAAGTGGTTGAGCTCCAGGACTTGTGCTGGAAGGAGAGAACCACCTCCTGAATGTGGTTCCTTTTGACCTCACACCTGCACACCTGCACTCATTCTTCAATAGTTCCTCTGTCTTGTTAACACAGGGCACATGCTATATCTCCTATTTTAGTAGTTCATAAACTAATTTTGAGTCCTGAATTTCCTTTAGAAATACTATAATTTAAGATATCCTGCAGGGTTGGGGTATACTATAAACTAAGAAGCTGAATTCTTTAGGGAGGAAAATGTAGAAGGACTGAGCTTAGGAAAGGCCTGGGGATACAGTGTAGACTCTCCCTTAGCACACTACAGAGCTATCCTTTCAAATCAGAAGTGAACACTGAACTACTCTGGCAAATCGACTTTCTACTTCGTGATTTTCATAAGCTATTTCATTTATATCTTACAGACTTTTCTGTATCAATTTAAATAATGGCATTTTTGGCTACTTTATATTTTCTCATGTAGTTTTTTTCTGTTTTGTTTTGGGGATGAGATCAAACTATGTTGCCCAGGCTGGCCTTGAATTTGAGATCCTTCTGCCTCGGGTCCTCTGGAGGCTGGAATTGTAGGCAGGTGCCATCGTGCCCAGCTTGTCTTGAAAGTATTATGACCTTCTTAACTAATGGTCACATGGAAAGGTTACTTTAAAAAGAGGATATATTTATTTCAGGAATTACGAAAAGCTTTACAACACCTCCAAGGAGAATTGCACAGTAGAAACCAACAGCTTCATACTCTAGAGATGGAAAAATACAATGAGATTCGAATCCGGGAACAAGACATTCAACACCTACATCAAAGTCTGCATCTCAAAGAGCAACTGCTTCAGGTGAGTTGTCAGATGAGAGCCAAGCATCCGGAGCTCTCAAATGCCTATCCCAAGGCCTCCCTGGTGCCTCCTGTATGAGTGGTGGAACACATAAAATGAGTAGAAAATGCAATCCACGAAGCAGTGTGCTACCCAGTAAGTAAATAACTGTGTGCATACATAAACAGCGTAGGCAGTATTCAGCAAGCAGAACAGCTCTGAGTCAGACACTACTTCATGAAGTCGTGACAGAAGATATGAACTTCCACAGAATTCAATGATAGAATGAAAATGTTAGGGGAAAATGGGGCACTGGGAGGCACGATCAGTTGTTTGTCACCTACTCTAAGTGTTGTGCACATTGAATCTCTTAAATTTCAGAGCATAGGATCTTTACATACCGTTGCATATAATCGCCACCCCCTCATAGATGTACCCATGCCGCATCTTTATTTGGGAAATATCTTTTTGTTGTATTTGGTTTGGTTTTGTTCTGAGAACAGGGTCTGACTATGTGGCCCTGGCTGACCTGGAGCTATGTAGACCAGGCTGGCCTCTAACTTACAGAAATCCACCTGCCTCTGCCTCCTGAGAGCTGGGATTACAGGAATGCTCCACCAGGCCTCGCTCCAAATCTTCTGTGAGTTCTTTACTGACATTTTAGGCAGAGTCAGGCAGTGTGTCCCGTGTTTCCATGAGCAGACTGGCTCCCCTGCTAGTCTGTTTATTGCAGAATCATTAGCAATTTAGTGTCTGTTATCACTGAGTTTTTTTGTGTATGTGTGCTAAATAACAAATTTCTTGGGAAAAAAATGAAGAAATTCAGCTAAGAGGTAAAGGAATAAAGGAAAGTACTTTTGTCCTATTAGGAACTTCAGGAGCTCCTACAATATAGAGATAACCCAGACAAAACTCTAGAAACAAATGAGGTGTTGGTTGAGAAAATGCAGCAACAAATACAAGACCGAGCTGTTGATCTGGAGGTAAGCAGCCGGTTCCCCCACTCCACTGGCAACTCTCCTCGCTGCGATTGGTGTCTAAATGACTGCATTGGGGTTTCCATTCTCTGTTCTGTCACACCTGGAATCTATAGTTTAGTGAGCCCTTTGGAATTTAGGAGCCTTACTTTCCTTGCAGCGGGCTATAGATGAAAAGTTCTCCGCTCTGGAAGAAAAGGACAAGGAATTACAGCAGCTTCATCGTGCAGTGAGAGAGCGAGATCATGATTTAGAGAGACTTCGTAGTGTCCTGTCTGCCAATGAGACTACCATGCAAGTAAGAGCCAAATCCAACTTGCTCTCTTCCCCCCACTTCAGCCTCTTCAAAACCAAAGAAAAGTACCATTCACTCATTCCACCTCTGCCAGTAGAGAGAGGCAACAAAGTCCTGTTCCTTTTACATGATAGACTTATAGGGGAGTAGTGCATGGTGATTGCTGATTACGTGGTTCTAACTTCTCATCCTCGTCTATTAATATAGATATGCACATACACTTCCGTGAGCATTGCTGGGGTAATGCACATACACACATACTTCATATATTTTTTCTCATTTATATTATATAGATATATATCAATGTATTATGACTGCTTTTTTCTTAACATATACTTTTAGCTTTTTTGCATACATATTTTAGATCTTATCTAGCCACCATCTGTCAGTTCTTAAAGAAGCCATTCACTTTTTCTCTAAAGAATCGTCCCCTCCTACAATCATGCGTTCTATATTTAGCTCTCTGCAAACCACATTAAAGAAAATTGCTGGTTTGACATTCTGTGTTTTCTCCTCTTACAAAAAGGGGCAGGTGGGCGTAAGTTAAAGGCGGGACTAATCTCTATAATCTTGAGGAGTGTGGGTGCCCTTTGACTTACATTTGCTATGTCTGTCCCCTTAGAGTATGGAGAGTCTCCTGAGGGCCAAAGGCCTGGAACTGGAACAGTTAACTGCCACCTGTCAAAACCTCCAGTGGCTGAAGGCAGAATTGGAAACCAAATCTGGTCATTGGCAGAAGGAACAAGAAAGCATCCTTCAGCAGTTGCAGACATCCCTGCAAAACAAGGACAAGGAAGTGGAGGCAAGGCTTCAGGACTCCAGGGCATTGACTTAGGGAATGCTAGGCACAGCCCCAGGTGGGCAGCACTCTCCAGGCCTCAGGGACCAGCAACCCAAGTCTTCAATTATATTCTATGCCTGGGCGAGTAACTACTTTCCCCTGGGAATTCTCTTTACAGCTATAAACTTAGCACGTCATTTATCAATCTCAGAGAAGCTCTATGAGAACTAATTAGTTGAATCTAAAAACACATCTATATTATAACTAACCTGTTTTATAACAGTTACGGTGTACTTGCTGGATCAGGCACTGTTTTCAGAGCTTAGTGAACCCTCACCAGTTCATGAGGGCATACTCTGCTTTCAAAGCAAAGACCTAGACCTTTGAGGTTAAGTCACTTGTCAGAGCAGCATAGCAGAGCCACAGAGCCGCTTCAGTCCAGCTGGTAGGACTCCATGGTTTTAAGCACAGTATGCTGTATTTCTGTGTAGACCAGGGGCTGTAGTGGCATTATTCTCCTTACAAGTACAGTTTCCTTGGTCCTCTTTTACCCCCAGACAGGCTCTTGCTTTATATCCAGGCTGGCTTCAAGCTTGCACCCTCCTACTTGAGGCTCTCAGGAGGCATGTACCACCTCATCCAGATCTTCATTCCTTTAGCCCACGGTTCTGTTCTCCCTCTCTAAAGTTCCACTGAAGAGGAAGCAAATGAGCTGAGTGTCCCTTTGGCTCCACCCTACATTAACTCTTACATGCCCAAGCATAAGGAAACCTACTTACTTCAGAAATCACCATGAAAGCTGCCATTCTAGATATTTCTCTATATTGTTAGTATCCGTTCTGTATGTTTGTACAGCCTTCCTAGTCATGGGCCTGTGCTAGGTCTGGGGAAACAAATGATAAGACATCATAGCACTCCCAAGAATCTTATAATGACTTTACAGTGGGTGCTTGCTTACAAGCCCTCCGAGGTTCGGTAGAGAAAATTCTGTCCTCCAGAAATTCACACCGGCCCTTTCACATTAGGATCTCAGGGCAACATTCCTCAGCAAACTGGGACCCGGTCAGAGTGAAGTGGCTGAGGAGCTGTGCCAGCGCCTGAAGCAGAAAGAGGGCATGCTGCAGGACCTTCTGAGCGATCTGAATAAACAAACTGTGGAGCATGAGATGGAGATCCAGGGGCTGCTTCAGTCGATGAGCACCAGGGAGCAGGCCAACCAAGTAAGCATTGATGTGGAACGAGACAGGACCTGGCGATACACTCTGGGTCAGCAGATAGGAAGTGTCTGGAGCTGGTGACCTGGGCTTGCTCTCTCTACAGTCAGCTCGGCTTCTCTCCTCCTTTTTATGAACAACAGTTCTCCATCAGTCAGAATGAAATGGTTTGAACATTGCATCCAGGTGGCCTAGGTGATACATGTATCCATAGTTTTTGTTTTTTTAATCTTATGTTTGTATTGAGAGAAAGGGGAATGGAATTCTGAAATATTATCTAAGTTATCAAGACTTGATAGTAGTCCATACTTCAAGAGTCCAAATTTTACATACTGAAAATGCAAGTTTTTTTTTTTTAATTGTCATTTAGAAATTGTGATGGGAGCTCAGCTTTTCTCTAAACAATTGGCTTCATCCCAGAGAAAGTTGGTGCTAGAGTTTGGCTAACATGGTTCCAATTCATTATCTCGGCCCCCTGAAAGTTTACAATTATTATCGTGTGTGTGCCTGGGTGTGCCTGATGTACATACATGTCATGTGTAATGATGGAAATCAGCTTTGTGGAATTAGCTCCCTCTTGCCACATTTATGTGAGTTCCAGGGGTCAATTCAGGTCACCCAGCTTACATGGAAAGCACCTTCACCTGCTGAGCCATCTTGTCTGCCCTAAGTGAATTTCTATACATTAATGGTCACAAATAAGTTCTAGGTCTTCCCCTTGTATTGTTTGATTATTTATTTTTTTCTACTGGTTGATAGTTACACACACACACACACACACACACACACACACACACACACACACACACACACATATTTTAGTCATTCTCTCACCCCCATTCTTTTTTCTCATTCCCACTGGGATCCTTTCCCCTCCTACTTTCAAGTCTTTGGTGTGTAAACGATTAGTTTAATTGGGGTTTCTTGCCTAACCATGAGTTGGAGGCTAATTACTGGAGCAATAGCAACTTATCAATGACTACACCACCAAAGAAATAGTACCTCACCCTCCAATTAGCATTAGCTGTCAACAAGTTTCGGGAGAGGCTCTCAGGCCCATCCTTTTTAAATTTTTTTTCCTTTTGCTTACTCTTTTGTGGAGATTTTTTTTCTACTCTTTTTCTAAACTGTTAAAATATAACCTTTTTTGAGAATCTAATACATGCATACAATCTCTTTTTATAAAATTCACCCTTCATTCTTCCCCCCAACTCCTCCCAGATGCAACACAGCTCATTCCAGCTTTGTTTATTTGTTTATTTCTTTTCCTCCCTTTTTTTTTCTCCTCTCTTTTCATAGCCCACTGATTCTAACTCCTAATGCCCAGATACTTATGGACATAGGGCCACCCATGAGAGAAGTGAACCTACCAGAGGTCATACCCTTAAAGACAGCTGACTCTCCCTCCCCCAGCAGCCATCAACTGTCAGTAGCTTCTCAGTGAGGGGTGGGTCTCAAAAGCCACTCCTCAATGCATGCTAACTGGCTTGATCTTGTGCCCATCTTGTACAGACAACCACAGCTATTGGGGGTTCTTGAGAGCAGTACTCCTGTCATGTCCAGAAGACAGTTTCAGTCTGGTCTTCCCTGACCTCAGGCTCTCACAGTCTTTCCCCTTCCTCTTCCCTGATGGTCCCTGAGCCATGCAGGGTGGAGGTGTGAGATAGGTATCCTATTTGTGGCTGAGTATCACACAGACACTTACTGTCGGCATTAACCACCACTTGCTGTAGTAAGAATATTCTGGTAAAGTCTGAGCCCAGCACTGATCAGTGGGTATGTATGTATGTATGTATGTATTTAGAAAGCAGTTTGATTACATGAGATTCAGATTCTCTTGGTCTGATGAAGAAATTTGTTATGTAATTCATTCAGTAAGTATTTGCTGAGTGCCTATTCCTGGCAAGTCATGTTTGGATACTTGGGATTTAGCACTGAGTTGCTCTTGAAGTATAGTCTTGTTGAGGAGGAGAAAGCAAGGAAGAACATATATTAGGTAACAGGAAGTGCATCAGGAAAAATTAAGCACAGCAGAAGGATTTGGAGAGTAGAAGCAGCTCCCCCCCCCCAGGACACTTTAAATAAGATTTGTCCATATGTATGTCTGGCAAATAAAAACTGTGTGTATTCAAGGAATGTAACAAATTGTTTTGATATTTGTGTAAACATTGCAAATGGCTGCTCTAATCAGTTCACAGTCATCAGTCTGTTTTGTAGGTAGCAGATCTTGCAGGTTCAGGTAAACAACACGGTGTTACAAACTAATGCTCTGTGCCATTATGATCAGTGATACTTACTCAAAACTGAAAGTCCACACCCTTTGCCCATGTGATTACGTTTTAGATAGGGAGGCCAGTGTGATAAGGCCATGTTTGGCAAAGAGCATAACCATACAAATGTTTGGGTAAAAGGCAGTCAAGACTGAACAAACAACTAGAGTAAAGGAAGTCATTTGTTATGCCAGTTCTGCCCCAAATCTTAACACCTTAGCCTGGTAGAGACTTTGGAGAGCCTGTTTCAGAAAGTTTTACCTGGTCTAGACATGCTGTTTGCTGTGCATACTATTCTGCCTGTGAAAGACTTTGTGCTCCACTGTTTTCTTTATAAATGCTGAGCAGGAAAATTGTTTCTGAGGGTTCCCTATGTTTTGGGTTTTTTGTTTGTTTTGCTTTGTTTTTTTTTGTTTGTTTTATTTAAATAAATGGTTGGTTTTTAGCAAATAACACTTGCCGGGCATTGGTGGTGCACATCTTTAATCCCAGCACTCGGGAGGCAGAGGCAGGCAGATCTCTGTGAGTTGGAGGCCAGCCTGGTCTCCAGAGCAAGTGCCAGGACAGGCTCCAAAGCTACACAGAGAAACCCTGTCTCAGAAAAAAAAGAAAGCTAAAGGAAAGAAAAGAAAAGAAATAACACTTAATGGTGCTAGAGAGATGGCTCAGTGGTTAAGAGCACTCTTGCAGAGGACCTGGGATTGGTTCCCAGAACCTTCAGGTAATTATCAACCATCTGTAACTTCAGTTTCAAAAGGACCTCCTTCTGGCCTCTGTAGGCACTGCACATACATAGTGCACAGACATGCATGCAGGCAAAACACTCATGAACATAAAATAAAAATAAATAAATCTTTAAAGAAATTTTAAAATAAGTTTTATTGATTTTACTACAATATCTTCCTAGTAATGTTCATTGTGATCCTTTTTTACCAGGCTGCTGCAGAAAAAATGGTACAAGCCTTCCTGGAAAGAAACACAGAATTACATGCCCTGCGCCAGTACTTAGGAGAGAGAGACCTAATCGACTCTCGGGCACTCCTCTTAAACCAACAAGTTAAAGTGACTTCCATCGGTCCCCACCTTGGAGAGCAGACTGATCAAGTAAGAACTGTAGACTAACATAGATATTCATGGTGACTGCATTTCCTTTTTACATATTTATTTATTTATTTATTTATTTATTTATTTATTTATTGTGGCTTTTCGAGACAGGGTTTCCCTGTATAGCTTTGGAGCCTATCCTGGCACTCGCTCTGGAGACCAGGCTGGCCTCGAACTCCCAGAGATCCTCCTGCCTCTGCCTCCTGAGTGCTGGCATTAAAGGTGTGTGCCACCAACGCCCAGCTCCTTTTTACATTTGAGGCAGCAGTTTGGGCATTTTAACTGCAAACTAGTGAGACTCTTCCGAGTCTGTCACTGTGATCATAGGCTCCGTGTCTTTCTAAACCTACAACCCTTCCACTTTTCAGAGCTCTGTGCAGGTGCCCTCTAGAGACGGTAACACTTCACTGACTGCTAGAGAAGATGCCAGCATGCCCAGGTCCACATTAGGTAAACACCAGTTCTGTTTTGTGAAGATTCCCTTTGCTTTTCCTTGCTCCATTGTTGTCTAGTAGATTTGGCTAGGACACATCCTGATAGTTCAGAAAATCAGTTTGGGTTCCCCTGAAATCTGTAGACACATCACTTTCAAGAAAAACTGCCCAAAACTTACATGGATTTTTTTGGTTTTTGTTCTTTTTTCTCTAACCCATTGTCAAACCAACTTACATATTAAAACTTAAATATTAACTTCAAAAATTAAATATATAAAAAGGTACACTGCATCCCTCTTTCTCTCTCATTTTGACTCACTCCCCAAGGGTAATAAGTTTCATTTCTGGATTGTCCTCCTTCCTGTGTTTTTTTTTTTTTAAATAAGCAGATGATTTCCATGTGTATATGGATGGGTATGTCATTTCCTTCTTCCCCTAGTAAATGTATTCTTTTGCATTTACATTTAGTATCCTTGACACCCAGATAAGTCCACCAATTTCATTCTTGTTCTTTCTTAGCTGTATAGGGAAGTCTGTTAGATGAATGTGTGATGGCCTATTCCATTTGTTCTTCTTAGCATCTGGGTTGATTGTGGGGTTTCCATTACAAATATTACCACAGACTAAAGCAAGTGCATGTATTTTTTAAGTGCTGGGGTATGTTCTTAGAGTACTCCTCTCAGAAACGGGCAGCTGAGGTCACAGCATGTTTCAGTGACTAAAAGTAGTGTTGTGCATTTATTTCAGGAGACTCAGACACAGTTGCAGGGCTGGAGAAAGAGCTGAGTAATGCCAAGGAGGAACTCGAGCTCATGGCTAAAAAAGAAAGAGAAAGCCAGGTAAGTTTGCTAGTCAAGACCAGTCCACGAATTCCTGTTGTTTCTTTCAAACTGGTTTATATCTTAAACATTTTAATTATCCATGTATGATATCTGACTCCAAATGCAAGCTATGCCTTTCTTCTTTTTGGAGAGAAACACAAATTGTTATATCTTCATCACCTTAGCAAGATGCTGCCACTGCAATGAAAGCACAAAATATTTTTATTCCTCCTATTGGTAAGTAAAATGAAGTCATTGCAAAGCACTTGTGCAACACAGAAGTGTCATGTGATTCCTGCCTAAAACTTTGACTTCAGAGGCATGAATTTTGCAAGCAGTAAACAAGAGGGGTGTGAGCATGAGCAATACTGTGTATTGAGCATTCTTCACATGCTCTGTGCTATTCCAGGGACTCACACTCACAACTCCATATGAAACAGGTAGGGTCATTGTAACAGATGTGGGGGGCTCATCATAATGCCCAAATTGAGGTTTAAACTCGAGTCTTGACACGCCAAACACTTCCTAAGAAGTCATTTGCTGGAGCAGGTATTTTCCCTGCCTTCTGATTTTGACTCTTCCTCTCAAAGGAGTTTTCATCCATTCCCTTAGAAGATCCCTCAGCCTTACAGAAGGTCTTCCCTCTGCAATCAGCTGCATATCCAGCTGGGATATAGATTAGAAGACAGCTGAGGGCTCAGCACAGAGGGACAGACTGAACTGTAGACTTACATGTAACTGCATTATCTAGTCAAGTCAGTGAGTGTCCTGGACTCCTGGGGCAATGTTTTGTCATGACTTGATGTCTGATGCAACACTGATGTCCCGATGTATGTAGTATATTAGAATTATTAGTTTAAGAATGCCCTGGTTGCCCTCCCTTGCTCTGGTTCTGCCCTCGCTGTTCTATGATTGTACATGTCGGGTATTATGCTTTCCACACACTTTTCCTCTTTTCCCATGTATTCCCAACCTAGAGTAACATTCATTTTTGCTTCTGTCCTGTTTTGAGGATCATAAAATTGCAGGGGCTATGAATATGTGTTTTGAATAAAGGATACTTTCTCTTGCTCAACTTTATCGTTAATCAACCACTTACCTCTCAGCTCAATATGGTCAAATAGCCCCTCTAATACTGGGCTCTTACAACAGCCATACAGGCTTTTCCATGTTTGTAACATTCCCTTATTGTCTGGTGATAGTGGAAGTCGGGGAGCTATCATTCACTGGTTTTCTGCCACATGCCAAACATTTTAAAGATGTTTTCTGTAGTCCTTTGTAGCCCTGAAAATATACACTTTCTTTTATGGACGAGGAAACTAAACCTTAGTGTCAAAGCTTAGCCAGCAGCTGGTGGTAGGATTTAAAACCCGTGTACATCCATCTGAAGACCTTAATCATGGGGCAAGAATATTTTCTTCCTTAAGTTTAGCATTTTCTTCTTTAAAATTTATTTTATATGTGAGGCTATTTTTTCTACACATATGTATGTGCACCCTGTGTGTGCCTAGAGACTACAGAGGCTACAAGGGCATCAGCTCCCCTGAGACTGGAGGTACAGAAGGTTGTGAGCCACCATGTGGGTGCTGGGAATTGAACTCAGGTCCTCTGGAAGAGCAGCCAGTGCTCTTAACTGCTGAGCCATCTCTCTAGCCCTGCTGTTTTCTTTAATGCTGCACATCCTGAGATATATAATTATAGTCATCTCTGAAGGGGGCCCAATAGTAGTCATAAAAATTTCCGTTCCTTAGCTCTGAACAACCTGAAAAATAAATCAGCAGCAGACACCGTCAACTTTATTATCGATAAAGTCTTAGGTACAGAACTTTCTGCCAGCATCAAATAGGCCCTAAATTATTAGGCTTGGCCTGAGGGAAGCAGAGGTGGAAGCAAGTGGGCTGGGAGGGGAATGCCAAGCATGCCTGGTTTATTCTGCCACCACATACTGTCTTGAAATAGGATTTTCAAAAGTTTACTTAAAATAACTTGCCATTGTCCTAAAGACTATGCAGATGTACATTACCAGTCGAAAAGACATTAAGACTGGCAGCCTAATTTGTCTTCCCTGACTTCTGAACTACAAATTAACTACTTATTAACTCTTTGACTTTTAGTTCCTTAATTTCCCCTTGCCTCTGTTGCCTTGTCTAGACACTGAAGTGTAGAAATCACCTTGTCTATAATTGAAGATAGCTTACATCCTGGGATTGTTGGGGGGAATTACGTGCCCGTTCATTCATGAGACACATTCTCTAAGCCAGAGCTAGAACTACAGATGAGAGGGGGTGCAGAATCGACAAGGTCCTTCCCGGGATCGGTGTCATTCATTCCTGCTGGGGCGATCGATAACAGACATTATACAAATGAGCAGCGTAATGTTGTCATTACAGATTAGAAAGTAATATGCTGTAGAGTCAAGAGAAAAGTAACACAGACGTCGATTACCGTAGTTAAGTGGCCAAAGGCTTTCTTGAGTAGGCTGGTACCTGAGAGGAGACGACAACAGCCCTGGGAAAGTTACTGCAGGCTGATGGAGTAGTAGGAGTAAAGGCTCCTAGTCGGCACAAAGCCGGGTGGGCTGCAGTCAAGTGGCAGGTATTGAAGTAGGAATGGACTAGAGGGATCCAGATCAATAGCTCTGCTGAAAGAACGCAATACAAGCAATGCATTGTATGCCTGGGATGTAGTAGCCACACAGTGAATGCTAGTTAGCTTGGATGGTTGTTACCATGGTGTCTAATGAGCTCTGTTATCATCCAGTTTGTTGTCTGGGGGAAAGAAGACGCAACAATGAAAGCTTGGTGATAACTGGTGGCGAGGTTCCTTTGTAGTGGCAGCATGCTCTTCACCAGGAGGCATGTGGTGATCCCCGGTATCAGCAGCTCTAGCCACTTAATGCCTTAGTAATTCATTAAGGAGAACAAAATGCTGGTATTCTAAATCTGCTATGTCTTCCTGTATTAGCTGAAATATTTACACAGAATAAACACCATTTATTCTTGCCTGCTAGTTGTAACCAACTTTTAAATATCCCAGTGACCCCATTAATAAATCTGTTATTTATAGTAATAGAAGACATTATTGAAAACCTTCTTACTCCAGGTGCTGGTGGCACTTGGGAGGCAGAAACAGGCGGATCTCTGTGAGTTCAAGGCCAGCCTGGTCTACAAAGTGAGTTCCAGGACAGCCTCCAAAGCCACAAAGAAACCCTGTCTCGAACCCCGCCCCCCACCAAAAAAATTAATAAAACATTCTTACAGTTTCTTTTAGAGTCTCCTTTGAGCCCACTCTCATGTTTCATTGATTTGACCCATGGCACTATTTTTTTTTCAGTTTCCTCTTGTATCACCAGCTGATTGTAATATGACATGAAAAAGCATTTGCCTTTGACATTGCTTTTTCTTCTCTCCACAGATAGAGCTGTCTGCTCTACAGTCCATGATGGCTGTACAGGAGGATGAGCTGCAGGTGCAGGCCGCTGACTTGGAGTCACTGACCAGGAACATACAGATAAAAGAAGATCTCATAAAGGTCTTTCAAAGCTGTTTAAAAGCCACTGGAATATTCTGTATCTCAGCTATATATGGGGCATCTTCACACAAGATGCGAAAATATTGAATTCTTCGGGCTTGAAATAGAGCAGAAAGGTCTGTCCCTGCTTCTCTGCTGAGTAATGTCATTGCAGTGTTTATGTTTGCTTATGTTTTTTCTAGGACCTGCAAATGCAACTGGTCGACCCTGAAGACATACCAGCTATGGAACGCCTGACCCAAGAGGTCTTACTCCTTCGGGAAAAAGTTGCTTCAGTAGAATCTCAGGGTCAGGAAGTTTCAGGGAACCGGAGACAACAGGTGAGTTCTTGGGACACAGGTTCCTCTGCAACTTCTATCCCATCTCTGATCCCCTCAGTGCCAGAGTCCAGAGAGTCTGCCTCACCTGTGAGCAATGTCTGCAATGCCCTCTCTCTCTCCTCACTTCATTCCAGTCTGGCACTTACTCCTAACAGCTTTCTGCTAGTTATACCTTCTTACAGTTCGTCTCCAGCATGGCTTATAGCTAAGCCTTTGCCTAGAACTAGATCAGTGTATTGACAGTGTGGAGATGCTCAGTAATACCTAGTGCAGGAACTTTAGAAATAGTTGTTACTGCTTCCTTTTTGCTCATCCCTGCCTTCCTTCTTAGACCTTCCCTGTGTTTCTGGATTCTCTCTCTCTCTCTCTCTCTCTCTCTCTCTCTCTCTCTCTCTATTCTCACTCCTATGTTTGAATTTGACTAATCATTAAGATATAAAGTGATAATGAGTGTAATGTTGTTGATTTGAAAGCTGAAAAATTCTGTAGAAAGCTTCAGTAGTAAACTGACAGTTGGCCACAGTGGGTGCTAATGCAGTGTTTTGTCTCCCAAGATTTACTGTGCCTTCATGTCTCGCTTTGCTGTTTCCACATTGTTGCCTCTCTTCCTTCCTTAGCTGCTGCTGATGCTAGAGGGACTAGTAGATGAACGGAGTCGGCTCAACGAGGCTCTGCAAGCGGAGAGGCAGCTATACAGCAGTCTGGTCAAGTTCCACGCCCATCCAGAGAAGTAAGAGAGGGGCTGCTTGGCTCGCTTACCTTCAACTTTCATTCTTTTTCCTTCTTTTATTTTTTTAGCAAGTTATAATAGCAAACAGGTGTTTACAATGCCAAAGACGAGAAAAAAGGAAGCTGCCCACCTTGTGATTTGTTGTGTAGTTGGCCTGAGCATGGGTATCTAAATCTGAAATTAGAAATAGAACTTCCCATTGTTACTGTGGAGATGACCCAAGAAGACAGGTCAGGGATCTGGAAGAGTGTCTTGTATACAGCAAGCACTTTGTGTGAGCTCCTTTGACTTCTGCCCCCTGCCTGCTACAGCCTGCTTTACTATGAATGGTAAGGCTGTCAGAGCATTAACACTGGGTTAATAATGATAATGAAGAACATGTGTTTGTTATGGTGGCAAATTTCCACCCAGAATCACAAAGCGTCAATGTCAATCTGTTTTCTTATAGTTCTCAATTTTGGTTTACTATATCTTTATGATACTATATCTTTTGGTGCTATATCTTTATGACTCATTTCAGAGTGCCTTCATTTTTTTCTTACCTTCCTTCCTGGCCTCCTTTCTTTCTACATTTTTTACTATTATTACTCAATTTCCTCTGATTTCTCATTGAGCTTTGGAAACATTTTATTTCCACCTCAGGAATATGGAAGCAGGGCAAGGTGTGGTATTACTTGTGTTGCCTTTGAAAAGAACGTCTGGAATGCTATCACTCAGAGCACTGTCAGTTCAGTGCAGATGAGAAAGCAGCTCTCTCCAGTGCTCGGCTCAGCCTTGCTTCACTTTACAGAACAACATTTGTTTTCTGTTGCTGTAGGAATGTGCTATATTTTTGTGTGGGAGTGTATCCGAATGTAGCTAAAGGGACAAACTTTACAGAAAGGTGCTATCCTCCAGCAGTGGACACAGGTGCCACACCCAGACTGCATTCATTCACTTAACCCTTGCCTTGAAGGCCAGTTACCTTAGGAAGGCTGGTGGCCCAAGTGGCGTAGATGGCTCTTTGGAAACGTGTGGACTCATGATAGTTGGCTAACCCATTTTCCTTCCATGTGGCATGTTTAATCAGCTCTGAGAGAGACCGAACTCTGCAGGTGGAACTGGAAGGGGCCCAGGCATTACGAGGTCGCCTAGAAGAAGTTCTTGGAAGAAGCCTGGAGCGCTTAAGCAGGCTGGAGACCATGGCCGCCATTGGAGGTGGGGAACTGGAAAGTGTGCCAGGTCGTCACAAGCATGCCCCCTGAGCACTGGCGGGTCACACTGCAACCCAGGATGGAAACTGTGTTTACACTAACCAGAGAAAGTCGTGTCTAACTCGACAGAATAAGTGATGACTTACTAACGATAGGATGGATGTCAGCCGCAGCACCTGCAAAGTGAAGTCACTGTAGTCTGCCCGTGCTTCACTCACACACTGTCGAGGTCATGGAGCACACTTGCACACCTTAGATCATTCCATTCTTCTCCTAGCCTCCCCTTCATTCCTTTACCCCTTCCGTGGGCCAATAAAGTTTATTCCCCTCGTCTCACCACCCATTTCACAACGTTCAGTATCATGTCATGAAATGCATGTGTGTGTATTACTTTTGCCATCCAGTCGAATCCTGCTCTTTGAAAGCAATCTTTAGTCAAATGAAGGAATAGAGTGAGTTTCAGTTGTAGAGAGAGAGAGAGACCATGGAATGGCTTTGGGGAGTGGTGTAGTCCTACTAAGTTTAACCAGAAGAGTGGACTTAGTCGAAATTACAGAGCAGAGACCATAAAAGTGTTCATGGTAAATCCTGCCCTTTAAGGCTGCTTCAGAGTTGACTGTTGAGTGTCACAGGCAAGATTAGATTAGTGGACATTAAGTTCTAGTCTATAAAAGTCTATAAAATTCTTGTTCCTCACTGACCTAGAGCTTCCTCAAGCCACAGGCATGGACTTTCGTCAGAACAATGACTTTAAAAACAGGTTTCCCACCGGGCGTTGGTGGCGCACGCCTTTAATCCCAGAAGGCAGATTTCTGTGAGTTCGAGGCCAGCCTGGTCTACAGAGTGAGTGCCAGGATAGGCTCCAAAGCTACACAGAGAAACCCTGTCTCGAAAAACCAAACCAAACCAAACCAAACCAACCAAACAAACAAACAAACAAAAAAACAGATTTCCCAAGTCAGAATTCTCTAGATAAAAAGATAATCGTCTGTGTGATATTTCCCATCCATCCTCCATTTTGTTTTGTTTGGGGTTTTTGGTATTTTGTTTGTTTTTTGAGACAGGGTCTCACTGTGGCTGGCCTGAATGTGCTGTGTAGACCAGACTGTCTTTGAACTCACAGAGATGCTTCTGCCCTCTGGGTGCTGAGATTAGAGGCATGGCTGCTACGCCCACCTGTCAGTATCCCCCACCCCTTTATTTTATATTATTATTTTCAGTATCCCCTTTAAGAGCAGTATTTTCCTGTGTCCCAGAATCAGGGAAAGGTAGTGTTTCTGCATCCTCACTGGGGTGTCATGGGTGGTGTCCTTTATTTGCTCTGCTTTGGTGTGTATATTACCTCATATTAGAGGGAGAAGTTGGGGGGTGTGTGCGGATATGCCCGAGTCACTCAGAAGGAAGTATCAGCGCTGTACGTAGGTTTTATTCACCATGTCTACTTTCTTGGGACAACATGACAGGTAGAGAAAGGGAACTGAAGATTTCATCTTTAGCATCTTAAATGTGAAGAATATGAAAAGGAATGGGTTATTGCAGGGGCTATGGATTCTACACCATAAGGCTCCCTGCTGCTGAAAGGTAGTGGTGTTGAGGGAACATAATTCAGGCTTCCCAGCACCCTCAGAGAGACTGAATCCCTTTCCAGAGCTAGACTGAGCACATGGTTTTTCCGTTTCCCTCCTTTTTGACAAGTCACTTTACATCCATGTGTTGCCATGGCGGGTGTTACATTCTAACTTCTATCCCCGATTCTGTAACCTGCTGTGTCTGTAACAGATGAGCAGCAGTCAACCTAAAGTGGACAGGAGGAAAAGACTTTACCAGAGAAGCCCCCACAATCTTCTGATGAAGTCGTTCACAAAGATTGGCAGCCATGGTCTTCCTTATCATGGATGTGCTATTTTGATTTTAACAGCCATTAGGGGGAAAGGAATCATTTAATAGGAAAGATAGAGGATGCATATATAAGCAGAATCACCCAATTGTCTTAGTGCCCCCATTTGAAGAGACTCTAAGGCCTGCCTGCACAAATTGTATGTAACTAGCAAGTAGGGAAGAAGATAATAGAGTTGAACTACAGACATGTCAATCAATTAAAGACTAGTCTGTCAGGTCATTACAAAGCAATTAGGAAATGTGTTTACTTAACTTTACTAATAGACCAACAAAGGTTTGCAAAGCTGCTATTAAGTTGCAACTGTAGGTGACTCTAAGGTTCTAAGAGTTCACAGTGATTATGGAATGTCTTAATAATTAGTCCACCTGTCAACCTCCAGCAAGAGTAGGTTGATAGGTAAATTAAGTGTTTGTTACTGATTCTATAAATGTGACTAAAATCTGGTACTGACTTTCTGGCCTTGATGCTAGAATGAGGCTGGAGACTGAGCTTCCCAGAAAGAATGTGCTGGGCCCACACATTTGTGCAATAATTTGACACCTGGTTACAGAACCCAATTCCAATGATGAATTGTAGTGTGTAAGCCACAGGTGGATGGTACTGTGATTCTGTACATCATTCACATACTTGGATTTAGCATGTTCTGATCTGCGTTCCTCTGTAGGAGCACAAGCTGTTAACTGGACTTGTCTGCCTTGGTTGGGATTTTTAAAAATATTTCAATAAACTTAGATTTAAAGTACCATGTACGTATAGAAGCTTGTGCTTCAATAAAAACTTTCTTGGAAGAAAAATAATGAAGTAGATTTTCCCTTAGGCTTTGTTTAATTTAAAGCATAGAACTTTGATTTAGAAAAATTCATTACCGATAGGTTTCGTTTGTCTCATATTTCTTTTACATAGTAATGGTTGTAAGAGGCTGAGTAGATGAGTCAAGTTTTTGGAACTGTTGAGTTGAAAAGGCTTCTGAGTAGATTCAGTTAAGGAGTAAAATGCAAGTCCTTCTGACATGCTTTCTCCAAACTCTTCCCTAATTTAGAATTTTTTTTGTTGCTGTGTATTTGATTTGGGGGGGGGGCTTGAACCCAGAGCTTTGTGTGTGCTAGTCAAATGCTGTACCACTGAGCTTAAACCCTCTACCACAGGTTTAAATTACATTGTTGAAAATCTGACCGTTGGTAGGCTTCTATTATTCAACATCTTTCTGATATTCTATATTTAGCAATTTAGCCAAGTTATAATTTCTGGAAAGCAATGGTTTAATATGCCATCCTTCTACTTTGGCATGATGTATACTTATTTTCCATTTCTCCCATTTCCACCTCATCTGCCTCCATACCCACATCTCTTCATTCAGGTATAGACAGTAGCAATATCTTTAGTGCTGCTGATTGTAGGGAAATCACATTGTCCTTGGTTAAATTTAAAATACTTGCAGCTATATTATATAGAGAAAGAGACCTATTAGGGATCAAAGAAAATCAAAATCCATGAGGATTTCCAGAAGCACTAAGAGTCTCCTTAGTAGGGTTTTGGTAGATAGGATGTAGACGGCGGCATCTGTGGAAGAGATGCATATTCCTACCACACATTTGCTTGTTTCTGCTCCTAGTTCAGTATCTATTGTAAAATCTGGGCTTACAGCTCCAAAATAGTTCAAGAAAGTTGATTCAGCTCTCTTGCCTCTGACCTCACACTGGACTCTCATGATAATACGGGAGAGAAGTGGCAGGTGACCCTATACTGCCAATCTGTCCCTTTCTCAAAAGTAAAGTTTAATTGGCTCCCTGAAGCTCCTGAGTGCTAAGCCAAGCCATAAACACTTTCCTAGCTTGGTTTTCCTCAAACTGTCATTGCCGAGCTCTGAGCCTATTGTTTAGACATTTCCTCCAAAAATGTAACTAGAACTAGTTCTAAAAACTAGGCTCACTATTCAGAAAATTCCTGCGAGAATTTTCTCCTTTCATGATCTTTCTGTAGGAGAGGGTCACAAATTTGGAACTCCTGAAAACCCTCAGCTGTCTCCTCACCAAGCGTCTTAGTTGTTTCTGACAGGGTCATCAGCAGTGGCCTGCATGAGAAGGGGACAGTCTTCCTATGATGTTAGGAAAGCCATGTTGTAACTTGTATGCTTAAAAACTGCCTAGCAGAACAAATGGGGTTAGTTTTCTTGTTTAGAGGCTAGCATCTTATGAGATGCAAGCACATATTTTCTCATTTCTCTTAGACTGAAGCTCAGCAAACCTTTCTTCTCCTTTTGGTAGTATAGACCCATTTATACTCTAGAGAAGAGCACCTGGAAGGGTAAAGTCCATCCATAGCACTCCAGTAATAAACGCCAAGGATGCTCGAATAGGTTGAACATAGCAATGACTTCTCTAGGGCAGAAGTTTCGAATCTCACTACATTTTGGATAATGAATTGAAGTTGCTCCCTTGCTATTTGTAACACTGACTTTATTAAAGCATCTTATTATAATTAGAAAATAAACATATTACTTTTATGTATTCGAGTACTGACAGAAGGTAAGTCCTAATTTTTTCCTATATAATCACACCAGCCAAAATGAGTTTCTCAAATAAAAATCAGCATTAGAATTTATCACTAGCAGAGAATGAGAAATAGAAAGGAAATCGAAAACTGTATAGCCAACAAGTTGTTACCAGTTGTCAGGTAAGAATAATTTTATCTACAAAGCAATACACTCATTTCATGTTATTTTTCCTTTTTATTTAAAATCAAATCTCAGAACTTAGAGTCTTTATTAGACTGCCATCCTCATGCAAAGGCTGGAAGAATAAAATAGAATGTTCAGGAGTATTGCAGAATATTTGGTTCAAAGTGGCCTGAGGAGTAGGACTGTGTTAGACACATAAGCTCTGTTCTCTAGACTTTAACTAGGCCAGTGGATTTGCTGTTAGTGGCTAAGAAGAGTGCATGGGCCGGCTTTGTGCAGCTGTCTGCCATTGCATAAGAGTCGGACTGCTCAGCCTAAACACTTTAGAAGCATGTACATAGACAAGTGTGTCCTGTAGGCCATACATTTCTGTGTTCAAGGTATTATTTAATAATGAAAGCAATGTCACTTGTTTTTATCATGTGAA